CCAGCCAAGCGATCTAATGCTTTCAGCGGCACGTGGAGAGTTTAGGGAGCCATCGCGACATTTTTCGAAACGCGAACGCGAGATGTCAGAGCTCAGGTTGGTTTGGATATTCAAAATGCTGGCATGTATTAGGCCGGAACATTAGTTTCGCACAAAATTTTTCAAAATTTGGAGCTGTTACCTGCTTTCTTGAGTAAGTTAGTAAAAAATTGCTGGTGCAAGGTTAATTTTCAACCAAAAATTTTCTAATCCCCATGTGAATATTGTGTTATGTGTAACGGCAATCATTTCCTTTCATGCGCCAAACATAATTGATTATGGCAACATTGAGCACTGTATCCAAAAAATTTTACTCTTAGAAAATTCTAATGCACTTTCAAATCTTGACAGATAGCTGTTAGTACTTTCATCAACCATGACCAAGCTGAGGCTAATGGAAATATCTTACAAGGGAAAGATGCTTGGTGGCTGTTTGAAATGCGATGTATATCATAGTGCACCTCGAAATGCTGATTCTGAATCTGTACTCGAAATCTGCGAGATCTTCTGAAGGAAGTTATGAACTATATTTTTTCTTGAAATTTTGCCTACTTCTGGTAGTGAAATTCACCAGATTTGATCTAGCCTACCGTTTGATGCTACTAAAGAAAATTTTAGACGTAATAATGTTTATTTAGGCTATCTGAATCATACTCAGCTGTTGAACAGGATAGAAAATTTTTTTTGATGACTTTGACCATCTGCAGTAACGCAAATTTTTTAAAGTGAAAATTTTTTGTTGATGATTTTAATCCTCCGCAGTGACGCAATTTTTAATGAATCATAACTCCATTCAGATTATCGTTTCGCAGATATGAAAATCATAACTCCATTCAGGTTATCGTTTCGCAGATATGAAATACATCGTTTCGCAGATATGAAAGACTGTTTACGAACCAGCATTTTTTCGCAGATATGAAAGACAGTTTACGAACCAGCATTCAAAGGCGCATTTTTTCTTCTACAAATCATTATGAATGGCCACGGCATCCAAGTATTATCCTTCCCCTGTTAGTGACATACACTATCCTCATTACAGTGACAGAAGCCGTGTTGATCACCTTATGAATCGTGAGGCGGTGCCTGAGCGGTATGAACGAACGTATGATCGCAGTCGAGATCAGCGTCGTGAAGAAAGATACGGATATCAGCAGCAACAACGGCGACGAGATTTTGAAGAGAGTCCTGCAATGGCCAGATCTGCAAGAGTTGCAGGTTAGGTCGCAAATTTTCGTTTTTGATCACATTTTTGTGTGCGCTACTACTCACAATCTTATGAATCCTCGTTTTATAATGTAGTTTAAAGGGTTAAAATTGTAAAAAGACAGGTTATTATTAGCTTATAGTCATGCATTTGAGACGCACAAATTGAATGTCTGCATAATCTTTGGTCACTTGATGTTTTCGATTCTAAGAAATGGTGGAATAATTTGGCTTTTATT